ACTTAGTTTAGCTCACCAGGTTCCTGTCAAATTGTATCACATAAATTTTTCTTTGTGTTTCTCTAACAATTCTGGGAATATTTATGTTCACATGAATACAACTTGAGGGATACCTGTCTATAAAGTTGGATGACAGTATATCCTACAGAAAGCCCTCCATAAATATAGTTTCTTACAGTCAAGTTTCTGCTATTTTTTTGTAGTGGAAGCAAGTTTCTGATGATATTCTGAAGAAGTCTTCAAATGTAGTTATTTGAAGTGTGAAGGTCCAAAAGCAGGGTGTGTGTGTACTCTGTTCCTAAACACTGGCATCATGTAGACAGTGAATAGAGGTGAGGGAGATCCATATAACCTTTTGTTGTCAAGCAAGGTCCCTATACATTTTATTTTGCAAAATAAATATGTCAGAGGGGAGGAGGGGTGGGAAGCTGCATGAAAGAAGGTGAAGGGATTAGGCATTGAGTTATACACTTGAAATTTGTATGATTTGGTGAATCAGTGTCACCAAACAGAGAGCTCAGTGCAGATACCACCTAATTGGAAGGAGGAGTGTTGTAGCTTTCACACTGGAAATATACTTTGGCTGAGTATGAAATTCTTAGGAGAGCGCATTTTCCTCCAATTTTGTATTTACTGTTGTTTTAATTTCAAACATTTACTGATGCAGAAGAAAGCCAGAATTTGTCCTGGTTTGTGTTCATTTATGAGTAACAGGGCTTTCCTTCCTTCTTTCTTTTTTACTAAATGTAGTTCTTTTTCTCCAAAAATCTCGTCCTATGTTCCAGGGAAAGAGTAAATTATTTTGTTCCATATATTTATAGCATTTTTAGGTCAAAAATATTTTTGTTTCATCTTTGAATACTGCCTTTGTTCCCATTTGTTTTCTTCAGTAATATTGATTATGAAGCCTCCATTGTGTTTCATCACACCTATCACTCTTTCATTTGTTAATTAATTTTATCCTATTGCACTGTTCTGCTAAATTCTAAAAAAAGGGAAACATTTTTTAAAATTTCATTTTATTTTTTCCATCACTGTTTATCCCCTCTATGCCCTCTTCTACCTCCACCCCCTCAATCACCACACTGTTGTCCATGTCCATGATTTTTTTCTCTTTTTGCCACATATTTGCTCAATCCCACACCCCCTCCCCCGACTCCCCTAGCTGCCTGCCTGCTCTCTGTCTATGAGTCTGTCTCTATTTTGCTTGGTAGTTTAGTTTGTTCATTAAATTCCACATATGAGCGAAATCATATGGTATTTGTCTTTCTCTGATGGGCTTAATTCACTTACCATCATGCTCTTCAGGTCTAGCCATGCTGTCCAAAGGGCAAAATTTTCTCTCTTTTTTTTTGTAGTAGGGTAGTATTCCATTGTGTAAATATAGCACAGCTCTTTTTTAAAATTTATTGTTCCTTTTTTCCCCATTGATCCTCTCCATCCCCTTTGACGCCCCCCTCCCAGGCCTTCACTTTTTAGCTGTGTCCATGGGTTATGCATATATGCATATAAGTTCTTTGGTTAATCTCTCCCCACCCACCCCTCCAACCTTGCCTTTCCTCTAAGATTCATCAGTCTGTTCCATGCTTCTAGCCATTCGTCTATTAATAGACACTTGAGCTGCTTCCAAATCTTGGCTATTATAAATAATGTTGCAATTAACATAGGGATATATATATATATTTTTCAAATTACTGTTTCTGGTTTCTTCAGGTAAATATCCAGAAGTGGAATCACTGGGTCATAAAACAATTCATCTTTAATTTTTTGAGGTAACTCCATATTGCTTTCCACAGTGGCTGCTCCAATCTTCATTCTCACCAACAATGCACAAGGGTTCCCTTTTCTCCACATCCTGCCAACACTTGTTTGTTGATTTATTGATGAGAGCCATTCTAGCAGATGTGAGATAATATCTCATCTTGGCTTTAATTTGCATTTCTCTGATGATTAGTAGCATTGAGCATATTTCCATATGTTATTGGCCATATGTATGTATGTCCTCTTTGGAGAAGTGTCTATTCAGGTCTTTTGCCCATTTTTAAATTGGATTGTTTGTTTTTTTCACGTTCAGTCTTATATGTTCTTTATAAATTTTGGATATCCACCCCTTATCAGATGTACCATTTGTGAATATGTTCTCCCATTCGGTGGGTTGTCTTTTCATTTGGTTGATAGTTTTTTTTGCTGTGCAAAAACTCTTTAGTTTGATATAGTACCATTTGTTTATTTTTTCTTTTGTTTCCCTTTCCTGAAGAGATATATCAGAAAAAAATATTGCTAAAAGAAATGTCCAAAATTTTACTATTTATGTTTTCTTCTAGTATTTTTGTGGTTTCAAGTCTAACCTTTAAGTCATTAATCTATTTTTATTTTATTCTTGTGTGCAGTGTAAGAAGGTAGTCTAGTTTCACTTTTTGCATGTATCTGTCCAATTTTCCAACACCATTTATTGAATAGACTATCTTTAGTCCCTTGTATATTTTTAACCTATTTTCTCAGACATTGCATGGATTTATTTCTGGGATCTCTATTCTGTTCCATTGATTTATATGTCTGGTTTTATGCCAGTACTATGCTGTTTTCATAACTATGACCTTGTAGTATAGTTTGATATCAGGTACTGTGATTCCTCTAACTTTGTTCTTCTTTCTCATGATTGTTGTTGCTATTTAGGGTCCTTTGTGCTTCCATTAAAATTTTTGAAACATTTTTTCTAGTTCTATGAAATATCCCATTGGTATCTTGATAGGAATTTTGTTGAATCTGTAGATTGCTTTGGATAGTATGGACATTTTAATGATGCTATTTTTTCCTATCCATGAACACAGTATATGCTTGCACTAATTTATACCTTCCTCTTTCTTTCTTCAGTGTCATAATTTTACCAGTAAAGAAAGGTCTTTTACATCCTTAATAAGGAAACTTCTTAAGCTTATCTTCTTCATAACTGTTACATAGGCATTTCAATTCTTACAATCTCCAGGGCAGCATTTAATTCTCAAAGAGAAATATGGTTTCTGTGTGATCATTTTGTTTCATTCCTTCCTGCTTTTAATCTTGGTTGGAACAATCCTAGCATCTTCTTAAATCCAAACCGTTATGTCATCCGGAATCGAACCCGGGACCCCTCAGTCCGCAGGCCGACGCTCTATCCACCGAGCCAAACCGGTTTCGGCCATCACAATTTTCTTAAGTAATTTACATAGCTACCATATTTCATAGAATCTTCAGTTTCAACAACTATAAAATGCATAATTGTTTTTATATAATTAACAAAAAATGTTGTCAATTAAGTTATAAAATAAAATTTCTTAACATATTAATTATTATCTGAATCTGAATTTTAGACATGTCAAAATATATAAAAACTGTATGAATACAAAATAAAATACAATGTATTATTCCTCTGAAACTTTAGGCTATTATTCCTGATTTTTTTTTCCAAATTTACTTATAAGACCTACATATCATTTATTATTTTTATTGTATTTTTGGGAGTGACAACATTGATCCACAAAACCACATAGCTTTCAAGTATATAACTCAATTGCTTATTTCCCTCACCTTCTTTCATCCAGCTTCCCAAACCCCCTCTACTCTGATATTTTTTTAGGGAGAGAGGAAGAGAGAGACAGAGATCGAAATATCACATTGATGAGAGAGAAACATCAATCAGCTGCCTCCTGAACACCCCTACAGGGGGTCGATCTGGCAACTAGGGCATGTGCCCTGACAGGAAATTGAACCAGCTACTTCTTGGTGCGTGGGACAACACTTAACCAACTGAGCCACACTGGCTGGGCCATATTTATTTTGAAAAAAAAAGTATGGGGATTCTGCTTAACAACAAAGGTTTTATGGATATCCCTCACCTCTACTCACTGCATTTCTTGTGCCAGTGCTCAATAATAGTGTGCACACACAATCAGCTTTTGGGTCTTGACACTGGTCTTTCAAGCCAGAATGCAGTTGTTGTTTTATGTTTGTTTGTTTGTTTTTTAATATAAACTTGATGGTGCCTTTTCTTACCTCCTTCTAGACATTGTTCAAATTGATAACCAGAACGGTGAGCCAAGGTTTTTACCCAGGGTCGTGTGTCATAACACCAAAAAATGAGCTGAAGATTTAAGATCTTTGACCAGAAAATTTAAGTAAAAATGAAAAATTTATTACAAGCAGATTCAGACTTCCCTCATGGGGAGGGCGGCCTCCTAAAACCTTGTAGTCCAGGGGTATATATTTGCTACAAGCCTGTTCTATGTCTACCTGTGTTACCACATGATTGATTTCCTCACTTGTTCTTGCCCAGCAGCAGACCTGAACTTTCTCTGTTTCTATGTGTTCTTTCTTTGTTCCTATGCTGAACTTTATCTGTTCCTATGTGTTCCTACACCTTGTTGCGGCAGGCCCTCCCTTATTTTCCCATGCCTCCCACTTTGAGTCCAGAAACGTTTTAATATTTCTGCATGGTTGGTTTCTGTGATTAGGCTGACTCTAACTGCTGTGTCTTTCCCTGCCTATGTTCCACCTGCCTTTGTTTTTCAATGTACCCCTGCCCTATCTACTTGTGTTTCGAGTTAGCCCTGTCAAAATGTCACATTCTCAATATGAATTTTCTTAAATGTTTCTATACTCGAGGAAGGACCATGGTGGCTGGCAGGACGGCAGGAAGGAAGAGAATGTGGGAGAGAAAAGGAGTGAGAGAGGAGTGTGTGTTGTATGTGTGGGTGAGTGAGGGACAGTTAGATCTCACAGGACTCTTGGGGACAGGCAGATTGGGCTATCCTAGATGGGGAGCCCCTGCTACTGCTATAGGTACTCCCAGGCCAGGAGCAGCTTTGGCGAGGAGCCTACACCATCTTGTAGAGGGGAGCAGCAGAGGCCAGAAGCACAGCCACACCAACATACAGACCACCCTGGATCAGTGTAGGGAGCCGCTAGCCAGCCATAACTCACGTGGGACCATCACCATGTCCCAGCAGTGAGTAGCACAGTACCTTGCTGTAGGCTCCCAGACATCATCAGTGAATGCTCGCCAGAGAGACCTCCCACATCAGGCCTTCTTGCCAGTCCTTGGGGACTCAGAGACCAACGGTACCGTGCTCCAGAACTCCACTATGAGTGCAAGCCAGGGGGACCCCTGTGACCAGAACCCCACCCCAAGTCTCAGAACAATGCTGCTGGTCTGACCCAGAGCCACCTGGCACCTGCTCATGCTTGGGACCTGCTGCAGGGGCAACCTAAAATATCCCAGCACATGTGGGCGCCCCAGGACAATGTTTCCAAGGACACGCAGAGTAACCTGATGTGCCCAGCCACAGGGCACAGGACCATGCTGAAGGTAGGCTGCCAGTGAAAACTGTGGGGCAAGCCTACCACGGGTGCTGGGGGCCAGAAGGCAAATTGCATGCCAGAGGGCTTTGGGTCCTCACAGGGAGTCACACACCAGAGGAACTGTTCATGTGCTCCCACCACCCCAAGCATCTGAAGTAGACAACTGAGAGATGAGGTCTGTAGGAAAAGGATATACAATTCAGAGCAGAGACAATAAAGGTGTGAGACTCAAGGCAGACCCAACATCTGGGATGACGAGTTCTGGAGCATTGGATTGATAGTATTTCAACCTCTCAGGCTCCAGGCAGGGGGCCCAAGGCCAGAAAGAGACAGCAAAAATGGGAAGACAAAGAAACAATCTCCAAAGGAAGAAAAGGAGGAATCTCCATAAAATAAAATAAATGAAATGGAGACAAGCAATACATCAGAGAAAGAATTCAGAGTGATAGTTATAAGGATGCTCAATTGTTTGGATGAAAAATGCATCCACATGTGTAAGAATCAAGAAGAAATAAAAAATGATATAAGTGAAAAAAAGAACACAATGGAAAGTTTCAACCATATATTAGAAGAAGCAGAGGACCAAATCAGCACAGAAGAGTCTTTCCAAATATTCAGAGAAATAACACCTATCCTCCACAGACTATTCTAAAAAATGCAAGAGGGAAGCACACTTCCAAGCACTTTCTTTGAAGCCAGCATTACCCTACTCTCCAAACCAGATAAAGACTCTACAAAGAAAGAGAATTACAGGTCAAAATACACGATTAACATAGATGCTAAAATCCTCAACAAAATTATAGCAAATTGGACAACAATAAATTAAAAAGATCATACACATAATGAAGTGGGATTTATTCTGAGAATGCAAGGCTGGTACAAAATCTGCAAATCAATAACCATGATACATTACATAAACAAATTGAAGGACAAAAATCATGTGATCATATCAATTGATGCAGAAAGATCATTTGACAAAATCCAACATGCTATCTTGATTAAAACTCTCAGCAAAATGGGAATAGATAGATCATACCTCAACATAGTCAAAGCCTTATATGACAAACCTACAGTCAATATCATACTCAATGGGCAAAACCTAAACCCATTTCCCCTAAGAACAGGAACAAGACATGGATGCCCACTTTCACCACTCCTGTTCAGCATAGAACTGGAAGTGCTAGCCAAAACATTCAGACAAGAAGAAGAAATAAAAGACATCTGAATTGGAAAAGAAGTAAAACTGTCATTATTCACTAATGACATGATATCGTACATAGAAAACCATAAAGACTCTAACAATGACATGATATTGTACATAGAAAACCATAAAGACTCTAATAAAAAACCAAAATACTTAATAAATGAATTCAGCAATGTCACAGGATACAAAATTAACACCCAGAATTCTATGGCATTTTATACACCATAAATGAACTCACAGAAAGAGAAACTAAAAAAAAAAAAATCAATCCTATTTCCCATTGCACCAAAAAAATTAAGATACCTAGGAATAAACTTAACTAAGGAGGTAAAAGACCTGTACTCAGAAAATTGCAAGACATTAAAAAAAGACATATAAGAAGACATAAACAAATGGAAGAAAATACAGTGTTCTTGGATTAGTAGAACCAACATCATTACAATATCCATACTATCCAAAGCAATTTATGGATTCAATGCAATCCCCATTAAAATACCAATGGCATCTTTCACAGGCCTAGAAAAAATGCTCCAAAAATTTATATGGAATAGAAAAGACCCAGGATAGCTGCAGCAATCCTGAGAAAGAAAAACAAAGTTGGAGGGATCACAGTACCAGATATCAAGTTATATTACAAAGCCACTGTCTATTTTTTAATAAATTTTGTACATATAAATATATATTTTATTTTATAGACCAATGGAACAGAACAAAGAACCCAGAAATCAACCCAAGCCATTATGCTCAATTAATATTTGACAAAGGAGGCAAGAACATACAATGGAGTCAAGACAGTCTCTTCAATAAATGGTGTTGGGAAAATTGGACAGATACATGCAAAAAAAGTGAAACTAGACACTAACTTACACCATACAGATATATACACTCAAAATGGATAAAAGACTTAAATGTAAGATGGGAAAATATAAAAATCTTAAAAGAATCCATAGGTAGTAAAATATCAGACATATGTTGTAGCAATATCTTTACCAATACAGCTCCTAAGGCAATGGAAACTATAGAGAAAATAAACTAATGGGACTACATCAAAATAAAAAGCTTCTACACAGCAAAAGAAATGATCAACAAAACAACAAGAAAGCCCATTGCATGGGAGAACATATTTGCCAATGTTATATCCAATAAGAACCTAATCTCCAAAATTTATAGGGAACTCATACATCTAAACAAAGAGAAGGTAAACAATACAATAAAAAATGGGCAAAGGAACTAATTAGACACTTTGAAAGTGGACATACAGAAGGCCAAGAGACATGAAAAATGCTCTAAGTCACTAATCATCTGAGAGATGCAAATCAAAACAACAATGAGATACTATCTCACACGTGTCAGAATGGCTATCATCAACAAATCAACAAATGACAGTGTTGGTGAGGATATGGAGAAAAAGGAACCCTTGTTCACTGCTGGTAGGAATGTAGACTGGTGCAGCCACTGTGGAAAACATTATGGAGTTTCCTCAAAAAATTAAAAATGAATCTCCCATTTGACCCAGTAATCCCATTCTAGAAATATATCCCAGGTAATCAGAAACACTAAACAGAAAGGAAATATGCACCCCTATGCTCATAGCAGCACAATTTACAATAGCTAAGATTTGGAAACAGCCTAAGTGCCCATCAGCAGATGAGTGGATTAGAAAGCTGTGGTACATCTACACAATAGAATACTACGCTGCTGTAAAAAAGAAAGAACTCTTACCATTCGCAACAGCATGGATGGAACTGGAGAGCATTATGCTAAGCAAAATAAGCCAGTCAGAGAAAGATAAATAACACACGATCTCACTCATTTGTGGAATATAATGAACAACATAAAGTGATTGACAAAAATACATACAGAGACATAGAAGCATTGAACAGACAGTCAAACCTCAGAGGGAAGGCAGGGGAGAGTGTGATGGGGGTAAGAGAGCAACCAAAGTACTTGTATGCATATAAGCATAACCAATGGACACAGACAGTAGGGGATTGAGAGCATGTGCTTGGGGGTGGGAGCTGTTGGAGAGAGGTCAATGGGAAGAAAAGGAGATATATGTAATACTTTCAACAATAAAGAATTTAAATAAAATAAAAAGAAATACAATTTTAATACTCTATGCTCCCGGAAGCCTCTAAATTTCTTCTCTGATTATTTTTCTACCTAGCACTTCTTGTCTTGCTTACATTGCCTGTCTCCCCTACAGGAATTTAAATTCAATATGTTTTGTTATTTTTTTTTTACTACAGTATCTCCAACACTTAAAATAATACCTAGCACGTAGTAAGTGCTTAATAGATAAATATCTGTGAAAATTAATGAATAGTGATTTCAATTCTTATTGTTATCATTTGAACCTCAAAGAGAAAGAGGTTTAAAATTATAGACAATGAGTAACAAAGCTGGGTTTATAACACAAGTCGTTCAGATTTGAAAGTCCCTTCTCTTAGCTGCCAGTCTTGTCTTTAATAATGTTTTTGACAATTTTCTTTAATCTTTGAATTTAGAATAATAAATAGTTATTATTATATGTGTGGTTATTTTCTCATTTCCCCAAAACTTGAGATTGATCAATAGTCCATGTAGTTAAGGAACTTTTACCAATAGCAGATAACTTCCCATCCCCTTTTCTCAATCCTGCTTAGTACTATCTCCCAACTCAAAGGCTTCTTCTTTATATCTGACTAGAGGCCCAGTGCCTGAATTTGTGCATGGGTGGGGTCTCGCCGGCCCACCCCATTGGGGTCCAATCAGGGCCAGGCCAGCGGGGAGGAGGGGATGTGGGAGGTTGGGCCATGAGTGGTTGGGCGGCCGGCCCTGCCCTGATTGGGCTGCTGGGAGGCTGATCAGGGGTGGTGCCGACTCAGGGAAGGGGCTGCCAGAGGTTTGGGTGGGCCGATAGGGGCCCCGATTGGGCTGGATGGCCGCCACATTGTGTATCATAGGAACCAGTCATTCCTGTCATTCCGGTTGCTTGGCTTTTATATATATAGACTAGTGTCCTGGTGCACAAAATTTGTGCACATTAAAAGGGAATTAATTAGAGGAAATATTTTAATATTGCTATTTGCCCTTTCTCTATAATAAAAGTGTCAGAGATGAAAGAAAATTAGTAAAATGTATATAAAAATCTCCCTCCTGTCAGAGTCTGGGGCCCACCGTGGGACCCAGAGTCAAGTCCCTGCCCACCCACACATACCTCGAAATCACGCAAGACCCAGACCTGGCTGGCCCCACCCCCGTCAAGCCCCACAGGGCAGGGGGCGCAGCCTCAGGTACCCCAGCCCAGCGCCGGGTGGGGGGCACAGCCTCAGGTCCCCTGGCTCTGGCACGATGGCTTTTATATATATAGGCATGAGGGCATGATGACCATTTGCATATTAGCTCTTTATTGTATAGGATAAGCACTAGGTACTCTTTTTATTCCTAAAATCATCTCTGTCCTTTGTACATAGTACTTGGTACTTTGCATATCAATGCCCTTTTCATGCTAAGCAATCATTTCTGGTTTTCTATTTCAGACCATTATATACACTAATTAGAGAAGCTGCCATTAAAAACACACACATACAAGAAAAGTGGGTAATAAGATATTTTCTTGAGTGAAAAGGAAGGCAAAAATAAATATAAGGACACAAAGAGGAAGGAAAAATAAACTTGGTATAGTTTGGGTGTTTATGGGGTCACAAAATTTTTCAGTTTTTGAGATTTAACTTCTAAATATGAAATGTGCTATGGGAGTTTCCATTTAATGAATGTCTTTATGCTCCAGAAAGCACCATTTACAGTAGAATCCACTAATGAACTTAATACAGTTCTTGAGACTCAAAGTATGAAAGAACATAATTCTTTTAAAAGTGCTTTTTAGGGATACTGGAAAAGAGTTTCTACTGTCTTAATTAAGAGACCATTTAGAAATGATGGTTTAAAACTTTGAAAACAATTTTAAAATCTTTATTGTTGAAAGTATTGCATAAGTCCTCCTTTCCCCCTACCCCTATTAAACTCTTCCAGCTCATTCTCGTCCCCCCAACCCCAGGCCCTCCTCACCCCATTGTCTGCACCCATGGGTTATGTATATATGTCATTGGTTGATCTTTTCTTTTAAATATATACATCAATAATAGAATTATAGAAATATATAATCCAATATACTGAAATATTTTTTTTTAAATAAGAGACCATTTGTTACTTAGGTTTATTGCTAATTATGAAATTCTCACTCTGCTTACCTCGTTCCCAAATGAAAAGTCTATGGGGATAGAAATTTTTGTCTACTCTTTGTTGTACCTTCAGTTCCTAGAGTAGTACTGGCATTTGTATTTGTTGAATTAATAAATTAAATAATAAAGAATGTGGACCTTAAGGGTGACTATAGTTTAGCTTATTAGTTTAGAGGACTAGCTTGATATTGAAACTTGCTCAGTTAATATTTTTTCCGTCTCATAATTCTATTAGTTGGTAATTTGGAAAGGACTAGAAAATTACTCATCTCCATGTGACATTGAGTGCGGCCAGTTGCTGATTTGAAATGAAGCATCTCTGGTCTTGATAAACCAGGATGGATTCCACGTATGAGTGAGATCATGCGATACTTGTTTTTCTCTGACTGGTTTATTTTTCTTAGCATAACACTCTCCAGGACCCTCCAAGCTGTCTCAAAGGGTCAGAGATCCTTCTTTTTTACTGATGCAGAGTATTCCATGGTGTAAATGTACCACAGCTTTTTTATCCACTCATCTACTACTTGGGCTGTTTTCAAATCTTAGCCATTGTAAGTTGTGCTGCTATGAACATAGGGGTACATATATCTTTTCTGATTGGTGTTTCCAGATTCTTAGGATATATTCCTAGAAGTGGGATCACTGGGTCAAATGGGAGTTCCATATTTAGTTTTTTGAGGAAACTCCAAACTGTTTTTCATAATGGCTGCACCAGTCTGCATGCCCACCAGCAGTGCACTAGGGTTCCATTTTCTCTACATCCTCCTGAGCACTTTCATTTGATGATTTGTTGATGGTATCCTGACAGGTGTGAGGAGATACCTCACTCTCCTTTTAATTTGCATTTTTCTGATGATCAGTGACTTTGAGCATTTTTTTCATGTCTATTAGCCATCTGTACGTCCACTTGGAGAAGTGTCTATTTAGGTCCTCTGCCATTTTTTTTAAAGGGAGTGTTTGTCTGCCTTTTGTTAAGTTGTATAAGTTCCTTATATATTTTGGATATTAACCCTTTATCATATGTATCATTGTCAAATATGTTCTCTCATATAGTGGGCTCCCTTTTCATTAGTTGGTGCTTTCTTTTATCATGCAGAATTTTTTGTCAAATATGTTCTCTCATATAGTGGGCTCCCTTTTCGTTAGTTGGTGCTTTCTTTTATCGTGCAGAATTTTTTTTTTATTTTGATGTGGTTCCATTTGTTTATTTTCTCCTTAGTTTTCTTTGCCCTAAGAGATATAGCTGCAAAGATATTGCTACAAGAGATAGCTGAGATTTTGCTGCCTATGGTTTCTTCTATGATTTTTATAGTTTCATGCCTTATATTTAATTATTTTATTCGTTTTGAGCTTATTTTTGTGTATGGCGTAAGTTGATGGTCTAGTTTCATTTTTTTGCATGTAACTGTCCAGTTTTCCCACACCATTTATTGAAGAGACTGTCTTAACTCTATTGTATGTTCTTGCCTCCTTTTTCAAATATTAATTGAGCATAATGGCTTTGGTCGATTTCTGGGGTTTCTGTTCTATTCTATTGATCTATATGTCTGTGCTTGTGCTAGCACCAGGCTGATTTGATTACAATGGCTTTGCAGTATAAATTGATATCTGGTATTGTGATACCTCCAACTTTGTTCTTCTTTCTCAAGATTGCTGTGGCTATTCATGGTCTTTTTTGGTTCCACATAAATTTTTGGAGTACTTGTTCTAGATCTGTGAAATATACCATTAATATTTTAATAGGATTTGCATTTAATCTATAAATTGCTTTGGGTAGTAGGGACATTTTAATGATGTTAGTTCTACCAATCCACGAACATGGTATATTCGTTCATGGTATATATATCTTCCTCTATCTCTTTTTCCAACTCCCCGTAGTTTTCCAAGTACAAGTCCTTTTCTTCCTGGGGTAAGTATATTCCTAAGTATCTTAATTTTCTCATTGCTATGGTAAATAGGCTTATTTGCTTAGTTTCTCTTTCTGAGAGTTAATTATTGGTATATAAAAATGCCATCAATTCTGAATGTTGATTTTGTATCTTGATACATTGCCAAATTGCTAAATTAAATCTAGTTGTTTTTTCATGGAGTCTTTAGCATTTTCTATGTACAATACCATGTCATCTAAAAATAATGAGAATTTTATTTACTCATTTCCAATTTGGAATCCTTTTATGTTTTCTACTTCTGTGATTGTTGTGGCTAGCATTTTCAGGACTATGTTGAATAAGAGTTGTTCCTATTCGTAAGGGAAACGGTTTTAGATTTTGCCCATTGAGTAGGATGTTCTCTGTATATTTGCCATACATGGTTTTTATTATGTTGAGGTATGATCACTCTACTCTCATTTTGTTGAGAGGTTTTATCAAAAAAGGGTGTTGGATTTTGTTGAATGCATTTTTCTGCATCTATTACGATCATGTGATTTTTGTCTTTCAATTTTTTTATGTGACTTATCCCATTTATTGAATTGTGAATATTGTACCAGCCTTG